GTTCTCACATGTACTTCCTTTCTTATGACCCAATCTCCTGCTACTTTTCTCCATTCAAAATCTTTCCATTGTTTCTCTGATGCTCTAATTCACTACCTCTGGATTCTCCTCACAGAGCTTTTGCCTCACCTTCTGGTCTTAACAAATGCTGACACTTCTCTGAAGATTCTGTCCCCCTGCAACTTTCTTGAAAGTATGTCCTATTGTCTTTTTGGTTTCATTTATTCATGAACACTGGGTCCAGAGGTGAGTTCAGCTCTCTCCTTATTCTTCAATGTTACATCTAAACAAGTAACCCTCTGTTTTTATGTAAAAATCCCGTTCCTTGAAAAATTTCATGATATTTACATATATTGTTCTCCACCCTCCCTCATTTCTGTCACCTTTTGGCTTCCTGGTTACTAGCTCAGATGCCCATCCACCTGGCTCGTAATCTTATCCATGCCTATGGTTTCAACTCTCACCTAAAGCTAGTGAGTCCCAAAGCAATATATTCAGCTCAAATCTTCCTCTTAAGCTCCATATCTAATTGCCTCCTGGGCATAGTCCTCTGATGGTGTTTAAGCATTCCTAACTCAACATGTGGAAAAGTGAAAAAACAGAAACCTGGGAGTCTCCTTTGATTTCTTCCCTCCTTCGCCCCTCCTCTTATTTCTATTGTCCTAATATCTTTGACCAGTTTTTTGCTCTTCCCTTATTACTATTTATTTCAGGTCTCCCATTTTTTAAAACCTGAATTATGAAAACCATCTCCTAACTGTTCTTTCCAGCCCAAGCCATTCTCCATAATCCTGCAAGCAGCAGCCTAAAATGCAATTTAATTATGTCATTCCCTAAATGGTTTCCTTTATAACCAGATTAAAGTTCAACACTCTTATCATAGTATACAAGTACCACTCCCCAACTCTCATGTTCCAGCTATAATAAATTTCTGGGTTATCCTAAACAGGTCGAATCTCCCTCTTCTGAAGCTAGTTAACTATATTTGTCATTTAAGTTATCTTAGGACTTCGTCCTTCAGGATCCCTCAATTTGAGAATAACTGACACTCCTTGTTCTCTTAATACCCTGTTCTTCCCTCTATCATAATGTTTATCACACTGTGAGCCGTAAGTTACTTCTCTGAATTCTTTTCATATTTCCATGAATTAGCACAGTGCTGGGTGTTCAGTAAATATTAGCTGTGAATAGATTTTGTGCTGCATTTCAAGGCTAAGGTTTACTTTGTAGCACTTGCTGAAGTGTGGTTACGAAAGGAAAAGGAAGATGGAATAATATTGCATGTAGGGGGGAAACTGAGTCCGCTGAAGTTGCTTTCAGAATTGTGGGAATTCAGTACATGTTTGTAGGCTGAGGCAAAGGGGGCAGTGGAAAGAGTGAGCTTGAGGATGTAGGAGAGGGGATAGAAATAAGTTCACTTGGAAAGGAGAAAATGTTTTCACCAAGTTTTCGTTAAAATAATTTTAATAATTTCCACAAGGTATTCATCTCATCAAGGCTGAGTTCAATTTATCTCAAAATAACGTTCCTGATCAGTCATACATGGTACATGTTTACTTATTAAACAGGACCTTCATCTTTCTCTGGGTCCTGGAGGGAGATGAATAAGAAGTATACTCGGTAGAAGTTAAGAATTAAAAGTTTACTAGCAAAAACCTGGAGCTGTGTCACAATCAATGCTACTAGAATGGCTTCTATGTTTTCAAAGTACACACCTGGGATATGATGAATTTTGGAAAGGGCTTGACGCTTAAGATGAGTGTTTTAAATATATATACGCACTAAGCAGTGAATTGCTGTTTTTCATGGTTTTTAAATGTAGCATTCTATTAGTCAAATATTCTGGTTTTAATATTTAATTATACAATCTGATTTATTAATTAAAATAATAGGGACTTCCCTGGTGGTCCAGTGGTTAAGACTCTGCACTCCCAATGCAGGGGGCCCGGGTTCGATCCCTGGTCAGGGAACTAGATCCCGCATGCCACAGTGAAAAGATCCCGCACGTGGCAATGAAGATTCTGTGTACCGCAACTAAAACCCGGGGCAGCCAAATAAATAAATAAATATTAAAAAAAAATAAAGCACGGGTGTTAAAAATAGCTTACATATGAATGAGAAAGGAGTTTTCAGGGCCTCCGTCATCACCATGAACTCCCACAAGCACTGATGGAGAACTAATTACTCTGTACAAAGTACGGTGCTTAGAGCTGAGCAGGACACAGATGTTTAAGATGTAGCTCCTGTCTTTTAGAAAGTATATTCACTACTAAAGAGTTCCAGTTAAACAAATGCATAAGTGATTATTGAAAGTTGATGTTGAAGACAGTTTCTAAATACTTAGAATGCTATCTGGTTCAAATATAGTAGCATATTTTTCACTAATTGTATGATTGACATTATTTAGGTACTTTCTAAAAATAGGGTTATGGTTTATTTTTAAAACTTTCAACACCCTGACTAAAATTTTACCTTCAAAAAATATTTTATGTGCCAAGCCCTGTTCTAAATACTTTATGGTGGCTTTTATTATCATCCTATTGTAGAGTTGAGGAAACTGAAACACAGAGAGAAGAGTAATTTGCCCAAGTGTAGAGCTGTGACCCTTACACAGGTATTCCACTGCAAAGGTCTTTTAATTTTTAATTAAAAAAATTTTTGACTAGGTAAGGCATTCACATGGTTTAAAAATAAAAGTGTGTATAATAAAAAAAGTTGATGTTACACATATTTTACTTTCTGTTTTCCATTCTGATAAAGCTCTCTTATCTTCTTTTCACTTCCTTTTAATTCTTTTTTAATTATCAAAACTGTATGTGCTTCAAAAAGACTATAGTGCCTAGGTAGAGTGCTTTGCCCCTAGCAGCACTTATCATGTATTTGTTGAACTGAAATGAACATCTTGTCCAGTTTTGACTCTGTGTGGTTGGCAATTGGCTGAATTGCAAAGTCAAAGACACATTTAGAGGAGAGAATATTGCTGAGCACTGCAGCTGCAAGAATCTCTTTTAGAAACCTAAAGTCTGTTACATAAATTATGTACTCTTTAGACTCTTTCCCACATTCATTTATACAATTGATCATTGAAACCACTTTAGAAATATGTGTATCAAATATTTAGCATATTTTAAAGCTTCCTTAATAACAACCCTAATAAGTGGATCCAATTACGTGTTTATTTACTACAAACACCTATGAATAACAGATAACCTAATTATAGTTTATTACTACCTCTGAATCATTCCGATGAAAGTGTTTTCTCTCACAGACAGTGCTTTGGTGTATGAGTATCGAAAGCAGCAGATTGTTTTCCATGATCGTAGGTTTTAAATATTTACCTGCTTGTGCTGCATAATTTAGCACACTGGAGTTGGAAAGCAGTTTGTATGGTAGCTGATGCCATGCCAATGTTAGAGAATATAATTTCCCTGTGTGACTTCTACGTGAAGTTGTAAAAATGGAAAGTATTCTACTGTTTTACTAACCAATTAAAATTTGTTTTTGCTGTAAATCCATAGACTACCAATGTTTGTGGTATACATACAGTTTTATTTTGTATAATTACCAGGTAGTCTATTTAAAGAATCAAAGCATTGTTTCTCTCGTCCTGTTAATGTATGATATTAAAAATAGGGCTTCCCTGGTGGCGCAGTGGTTGAGCGTCCGCCTGCCGATGCAGGGGACACGGGTTCGTGCCCCGGTCCGGGAAGATCCCACATGCTGCGGAGCGGCTGGGCCCGTGAGCCATGGCCAATGAGCCTGAGCATCCAGAGCCTGTGCTCCGCATCGGGAGAGGCCACAACAGTGAGAGGCCCGCGTACTGCAAAAAAAGCAAAAAACAAAAAAACATTCATTCTTGTAATCCGAGTCTTTATGAAAGTAACAAGAAAGCATCCAGACAGCTTGTTAAATGCATGTTATCTGCCCTAAGAAATCAAAACAGAGTTCTGTATTTTAAAATGTGGAACCACTGGCTATCCAATCAGGCAAGAAAAGAGTTATTTTGTTTGCTCACTCTAAAAAATGTTACATCTTGCTATATCCTTTGTATGATAGGTTATTTGGTGGCCCTACTGCATAACAGAAAATAAATAGTTACAGTTACCTGTTTTTGTGAGAATAATAATAAATATAATTCAAACCATTAAACACATAAAAAAATTGAAAACCCTTTTCACAACTACTTTTGAACTTTTCAACTCTGTATTCTGAAAGATATTCTTTCCCTTGTGGTTTCATAGTCTGGTACTACAGACTGTTAATTTTTCACTTCTCGCTCTTATTGTAATTTCCTATGCAATTCGGGAGCACGTTTGGTAGCCCTTGTTCCAGCACAACCTTGCAGTACTGCAAAAACGACACAGGATTACACTTTGCAATAATTTAGTATTTCTCTCAACACCCCTTATGAATGAGGATAAAAATTTCCATTTCATAAAAAGCCTTTGCAGACTGTCCTGTTTCAATTCTGGAAAATAATCTGAACGTGGAAAATGAACTCACATATTCCTTGATATTTAATACCTTCACAAAAAGAAAGGAGAGAATACTGGTATTTTTACCAAAGTGGGCCTTGGTAGAAAGGTCTACATTAATCTAAAGGATTTAATGAATCCTCTGAAATCGCCTTTGAGGTCTGCAGGTGTCAGGGGCAGAGTGAAGAATAAGGGAGGCAGTGCATGCTGGATCTTGTAGTTCCCGCGCTGGAGGAGAGGTAGTGTTGCACGGCAAGCTGGGAGTTGAAGTCCAATTGTTCAGCAGGAAGTCATGGCAGGAATAATGTGGTTTGTCTATCAGAGACACCGCTTATAGATGGATACTTTCTCTTGGTTCTGCTCTTGCTATATTGGTGACTTAGAGTCTGAGGCGGCAAACAGGACGAAAAAAGGATGAAGTAAACGGACCGGGGACCTGTAAGCCGCTGCTACTGTTGCTGCCAATCAACAGGCGTTAGTGCCCCGGAAGTGGCTGACCTACTGGGTTTGAAGGGGGTGGGGCGTTTCTCTTACTACGGTGGCCGGGGAGCTCGAGGTGCGTGTAGCTGCGGCGCTGAGGTCGGGGCGTCTGCGTGTGTGTTGGCTGCTTTTGTGGCAGCTGCTGGTGGAGCTGGAACATTTCCCGGTTGGTGGCTCCTGCACATTGTTTCCATTTCTCCAGTTCTGTTTTCGGTTTTTCGGTGAGGGGTCGACTTGAGGTTCCTCTGACTCCGCTAGCCTCAGAGGAGGTTGGGACTTAGTGTCTCTGGTCCTTCCAAATGACCGGGTTTCTTGGGGGCCCCTGCCCTCAGTGGAGACCCAGTAGCCAACAGTTTAGGCTCTCTGAGGGTTTTGGTGCTTCCCTCATCTCTGTTTCTGGTGTAATTTGTTTTCTGACTCCTTGCCCTTCCTGGTCTCCAGAGCTAACGAACCGTAAGTCTTCCTGTGGGCAGCTGTTCCCCCTCTCCTAGAGGCTTTTCGTACGTGTTTCAGGCACGATCGCTAGTCCCCTAAGCTATTGCATCCATTTAACTCCTTCCCTATTTCTCTCCGTTAAAAAAAGAACAGAAAAGAGAAAAAAAAATCCCCCCAAATCAGATTCTCAAGATCTCAATCTTCTCATTCCTAACTCCTTTATCCCTTTTTAGGCCTTTGTTACTGCTTCAGACTCTTAACACATTTGCCTGAATATCTTAATGCTTTTCCATTCAGACATTAACGTTTAATCACTTTATTTGTTTCTTACTCATCCTCAACTCTTCGACTTCCATCCACATGTCAGGGCTTTTTAGGTTGGATGTTCAAACACATTCTTATGATGACTGGTGAATACGAGACGAACAGCCAAGCATGACTCTGCTTATGAAGTTTATACTTAAGATCTATTTGGCTTACATTTTTGTTTTGTATTGATTATTCCCCCACAAGGGGTTCACTGCTACCCTATGGTTAGAGGAGAATACCTCATCCTACAGCTCTTTGTATCTGAATTAACTTAGATGGGATTTTTTCCCCTTCTCCTACTCGAAACATATGTCCCCAGTAGAATTTTTGCGATGATTTTGTGTCAATTAATAGCAGATAGACACAAGGGAATGCTCTTTCCTCCTTGGTTGTTTATGATTTGTAATTAGATTGTGAGTCATTGAAAGTACACAGAGGGATTAGAAAAGCTTTTGAAAGGTAAAGGCTGTGTGTGTACCAATTTACAAGTAAATAAAGTGTCTTCCCTGAACAAGGGAGAGTTTCTAATTAGTCGAATAATCTGATGCTGTATTGAATTAATTATCAGTTCTTTCACTGTAAAATTTTGGGACGTGTTTAAAGTTTAAAAGTAGCCAATATGAGAACTTTTATAGTTTAGTAAAAAGAGTTTAAAAACCCTTTAACTGATGCTCATTTTTCTGTAAAATGGAATACAAATATATTGAAAAGTTTATTTGTTGTGATTGTTTATGAGATATTTCTCTCTCTATATATATATTTAATTTATTTAGTTTTGGCTGCGTTGGGTGTTCGTTTCTGTGCGCCGGCTTTCTCTAGTCGTGGTGAGCGGGGGCTACTCTTTGTTGTGGTGCGCGGGCTTTTCATTGTGGTGGCTTCTTGTTGCAGAGCACGGGCTCTAGGCACGCGGGCTTCAGTAGTTGTGGCTCGCGGGCTCTAGAGCACAGTCTCAGTAGTTGTGGCGCATGGGCTTATTTGCTCTGCGGCATGTGGGATCTTCCCGGACCAGGGCTCGAACTCGTGTTCCTTGCATTGGCAGGCAGATTCTTAACCACTGCGCCACCAGGGAAGCCCCTTCTGCATAATTTGTTAGATCTGGTAAAACAGCATTGTTTACTATTCAGTAATGTTTTGTAGACAGAAATTTTTGCCCTTCTTGTCTTTCTTGGGGCCACGTAAGTTAAATAACTTTGCAGCTTTCTTCTGTTATGAGTATTTTACTATTCTAATAGCAAAATTATTGTTCTTCTTTAGGAGTCAAAGATAATCTCTATGTCAATAAAATATAAATATTAATACATGTACCCAGTCTAAATGAGGTTATTCCTAATTAGTCAGAAATGGTTTTAGCCACGTTTAAGAGTGGGGCTAAATGTATAATATTTCAGAATTAATTCACTCATGAAATTCTTTATTGGATAAATGATAGGCTAGACATTACTCACATTTTTTATATTTTTCCTGAGATTTTATTCATTTAGTAGGCGTTTATTAAATGCTTCTTACTATTTAACTTTTGTCACAATATCATCAAAACATTTATTGAGAACATCCTCTTGCCCTCAGCTCTGTACCAGATGCTTTAAAGCAAGGGTCCCCACCCCCCGGGCCACGGACTGGTACTGGTCTGCGGCCTGTTAGGAACGGGGCTGCCCAGTAGGAGGTGAGTGGTGGGCCAGCGAAGCTTCATCTGCGGCTTCCCATCACTTGCATTACCACCTGAACCATATTCCCCTCCCCACGAAACTGGTTCCTGGCGTCAAAAAGTTTGGGGACCACTGCTTTAAAGCATTATTGCGTTAAATCATTATACCAACTCATTGAGCTATTGAGTATTATTTACATTTAGCAGATGAAGAAACTGAAGCTCAAAGAATTCAAGTAATTTAGTCCAGTTCCTTTTGACTCTTCCCACTTACTACAGTTGCAAAGATTTGTTCACTACTCTGGAATATATAAAGAGCATTAATTCAATAAATACTTGCTAAGCAGCTATTACGTACCAGATACTCTTCTAGGTGCTGGGACTAGAACAGTGAACAAGAGACAAAAGTCTCTGCTCTTAGGGAGCTTACATTCTATTAGAATGTTTGACATGTAAACCTTGCCTTCAAGAAACAAAATATAGCCTGTATGCATTTGGTTTTGTGTGTTTTAGAATGTTAAGGTTGAAAAGAGAGATTAACCAGGGAATATTTCATGAAGAAGATGAGATTTGATCTAGAACTAAAATAGCGAGTATAAATTTGGTAGGTAGAAATTGGGAGGAAAGTAATTCCAGTTTGAGTCATAAAATGAGCAAAATTCTAAATTGTAGGAGAGAGAGATTAGTGGGAGGGACAGTTAACTGGATTGCTTTGTATCTTCATTTCTTTGCATATAGGTGGGCAGTGTTGGCTGAATTTGAAACAAATGTTTAAATGAATGAAGCTGTGGCAAGAGCTCAGATACCAGGCAATGAGGAATTAGATAGATCTAGTGTTATTATTGTGGGATTTAAAGAAAAGAATTAATTGGATAACTGTTGGTGAAAGAACCAGTAAGCACTGTTAATTATTGAATGTTGGGAGTGGCGTGGTGGCCAAAGGAGAAGGGAGGCTAGACTACCAGGTTTGAACTGAGTGGGTCAGGTGTATTGTAGATTTACCTGTGATGAGGGTTTTTTATTTGTTTATTTTATTCCAAGATGCACCATTATTTTATGAACTTCCGTGAAAGAAAAAAAATATTGCCCATTAAACATAAAAAGATTGTCACCTGTAAGGTGTATTCAGTTTCAGAGTTTAAAATGTAAAAATGTGTGATCTAGAAATGATGAAATAAGGTACTCCTTATGATGGTTCGTGAGTCTTGTAACTACTTAATTTTTTTGGACTGTTTATAAATGTTTGTAATCTTTGACATGCATTCAATCATTTAGCATTTATTTATTTACTAGGCACGCTTCTAGGCCACAGTGATATAGTGATGAGTAAATGCAGTCTCTACCTCATAGAACTTATGAGGGGAGGCAGACATAAATCAAATATTCCATCAAAGAAATGTAAAGTTGCAACTATTGTAAATTCTATGAAAAAGGACTTGATGTTATACAGAAGAAAAACTGTTTACAGAGGAGATAAGAGTGTGGATGAGGAGAGGCCAGATGAGAGATGGTAATATCTTAGACAAGGTGGTGGTGAAGACAGGTAAAAGTGGATGGGTTTTAGAGATGTTTAGGAGGTAGAACTGGGTGATGAATTGGATATGAGGAATGAGGGAGAGAAAGGTGGCATCAGCCACCACTACCATTTTGGCTTATGTAACTGGATGGATTGTGGTACAGTTCATTGAGGTAGAGAACATTGTAAGATGACTGGGTTTGGGGGGACATGCTTTGTTTCTTAATATTTTTTCACCGTGGCATCAGTGTTCAAGGTTTATGTCTTAATTATTCTTTTTTTCCTTTTATGTCGTTGTTTAAGTTAAGTATGTTTGAGGAATGCTGTACCTGAAATAAGTTTTTTCAGTATTTTTTCCCTTGAGTGGGCAGGGATAAGGTTCTAGATAAAGGCTTTTGGAAATATGTTGGTATTTGTTTTGAATTTATATGTAACATATTCAACCATATATATGAATAGGTAACTGAGTAATACAGCTCTATATCATTTTTATTTGCACTTGGGATTTGGCAGTAAATTGGGCATCTGGTTAAATTCTAACTTCATTCAGTTGGTGTATGTGTAAATATAAATATGTGTATTAGGGAAAAAAGACATGCTTATGATTTTCTTTGAAATAACTCCATTGTGTAGTTTTTGGTAGATATTGAATTAATACAGTCAGTTATTATTTAAATTTTACATTTCATAGTAAAGCAGTAGAGGGTACAGAGCAAAAAGCTTGGGCTTGGAGTAAAATTGCCTGGATTCAAGGTGTGTTTTGCTATTTAGTAGCAGTATGATCTTGCAAAAGTTCTTCAGCCTTTGTTATTTTTTAAATCTATAAAATGAGGATAATAATAGTACCTGCCTTATAGAGTTGTTGTGAGGATTAAGTGAGATGGTATGTGTGCATAGGTTTACAAAATTCCTGGTACAGAGTTTGTTTATTATTATTGTTATCATTATTATTATAGTGATGTGGTGTCTGGGATCATCTGTACTTCTGTAACAACATTTTAATTTAGAGTTCCTTTTAACTAATAGATCTTGATTGGGGAAAAAATCGTTTGGTAGTCATATTTGGATTTGGAGAAAATGTTATACAAGACAGCTTTTGTTTATTCACAATTGTCCTAGGTGAGTCAGCACATGTCATCTTTCACAGAATTCTCATCAGAGATTGTGGTTAGTCTACAGCTATAATTGGAAGTTAATGATGGATTGGCTTATAATTACTTATTATTTGTTAGGATTATTACTTTCATTTTTAGTCCAACCT